AATGATATAAAATAGTAAATAAATTTTTCTATTAAAAATATAAACTAAAATAAATTTTTTGGTTTACTTTATTATTAAATATATTTTTATATTAATCTTATATAACTTTATATAAGTAATATAATAATACAAAAATTCAATTCATAATTGTAGAATAAAGTTCAAACATATATATATATATATGCGGGTATGAGGCGGGGTGGGTACTTAGATACCCATACCCGCACCCATTCCCATTAAAATTTGCAGGTTTTTACCCACACTCATACCTGTACCCGTATAGGGGGTAAATACCCTACCCATTGTGGGTAAATTTTACGGGTGCTCTCGGGTACTTTACCCATTGCCATCCCTACTATTAATCTAATTAAACTCAATAAAACTCTACCTCTTAGAGGGAATTTCACTGTTTCATATTACTCATCTTTCTTTCTTTCTTTTTTTTTCTGTTATTTACAGTACTTTTTATTTTCATTTTTAAAATAATTTTTAAAGTACAATTTTAGAAATTAATTGAAAATAATAAAAAATTTAATTTTAAAAAGTATTTTTATGCCTTTTAAAATTCAATTTCTAATGTGATTTATAAATGTGATTCAAAATGTATTAAACATACTTCTAAAAATTATTTTTTTTAAAAATAGTACAACAAAAATAAGTGGTATTAAAAAGTAATATCATCTCTTAAAAAGGGAATCCAAATAGAAATCAGCCTAAAAAAAAAATCTAAAAAATCAAAAGTAAATGAAAAAAGAAAGGGAAAAAATAAAAAAAGAAAGGAAATCAACTCAATTGGGACAAAGAAGGTTAACCCAAAGGAAATTGCTTGTGTGTTTTTCATTCATTAATATTTTCATTGGATTGTGCTTTTTCATTTGTTATATTTTGATGCCCACAATATTATGTTAATGTTTGTTCTTTGCTTTTGATTTTTCTTTCTTAGGAGGTGTGACATTGAGTTGCAGCTTCACCATATTCTTAATTTAATTTTGTCCTTTATTTATGCTTCAAAGTAAAAGCGTGCCCAATGAATAGAAACAAAATTAATTAAGAATAATGATTTAGAGGAATGTGTACGTAGGGAAGGTTCATGTTTCACTTTTTAGAGGAATGAATAATGATTTTGTTAACCTTACTTTTAGGAATTGATTATACGAATTTAAAAGTAATTTTTTATTAAAAAATATTTATTCTATTAAAAATATAAAAGTATAACAAATATTTTTTATAAATAAAAAATATTACTTTTAAAGTTAACCCATAATGGTTACAACAGAGCATTACTTAACTAAAAAATCTGAAAAAAAGAGAGTATTTTTAAATTGTATCCTTTTATAAATAGGAACTTTAAACTTTGATTCTATTCTAATTAATCTTTAAATATTATTTTTTATAATTAAAAAACTTGATTTTTAATTTTATTTTAATCATTCTTTAAATTTTACTAATTTTATAAATAAATACCCTAAATTTTAATCTTTGTTCTAATTAATTATTAAACCCGGTACTTTTTACATATAGCTATTTTTATAAATTAATTTGGAGTTAAATTATTAATAAAGAAAATTTATAATCATTTATTTATTTATTAATTTTGTGGTTATATTTATTCTTGTAAACATTAAAGCATAATAAAATATTTGAATTTAGAAAAATACTTAATAGAAGTAATAAAAAAATAGTAATAATAATAATAACAATAATAATAATAATAATAATAATAATAATAATAATAATTCTAACTTAATCACAAGATTGGCTTTTTGTAAAACAAAATAAAGTTTAAAATTAATTAGAAGAAAGTAAAAGTTTAAGATATCTATTTGTCTTAGAGTATAATTTAAAGGGTCCTAGTATTCTTGTTTCAGAAAAATTAAAATCTTGCTAATCAATACTTTAAAGAGTATTGGTTGATTAGTTAATAAATAAGTTTTTTATTAAAAATTATGGTGAAAGTAAAGATGTTAAAATAGGATACTTACACTAGATCATCCTACTCTACTTTGAATTTCAAGCCATTTTTTTTTCAAAAAGCTTCTTATTCAAGTTGTAAATAATAAAAATTTAAATTTAACTCAAATATACATTTTTACACTTGACTGGATTGATCTAAACCTAATAAAACAAAGGTCTAAATGAGTCAGCTCAAAAAATAAATATAAAATAAAAAAAGGTTAAATTTTAAAATATTAACTCAATACTTTGGTCAGAATGATTGAACTAGTCGGATTGACTCATTTTATCAAATTTAAGTAAAAATATATTAATAGCACTTTTTAGTAAAAGTTTTTTTTATTTTAATTCTTAATTAGTGTTTATCACCGGTTAACACTTGAAAAAATAATTAAAATAAGAAAAAAAAAGCTTGCACACTTGTCAATATAATTTTAGAAAACAATTTGTAATATTCAGTTCCTATTTATCTACAGAGAAAAGATAAAATTTATTCCACTTTATCTATTTATGTAAAGTTTAAAATGATATTGATTGTTACCTTTTTATTTATACTCCTTTTCTCCAAGTGCAATAAATATAATAATTACACTGCGAGTAATCTAAAGGTGGAAAAAAAATTGACTAATAAAAGATAAAATAGAAAGATTATAAAAAAATTTAACTAAATAATTGAATTTTCTTTGGAAAGATAAATATCTACAAAGTTAATATTTATAATGCTTCACTTTTTATTATTGGTTAAAATTGTTAAAAATTACAAACTCGTATGTCGTAGTATTTATTTAAAGAGTCACACTCATAATCTTTAATTAATTTTAAATAATAACAAATAATGTGAATAATAAAATGTGTGTGACAGTTTTTTATAAACAATTTTTTTCTATAATGATAAGACGAATTCAAATATAAAATATGAATTCACATATGATTTAGAGGAAACACAAACCACTTGAGAGAAATAAACCTAAATCATTTGGAGTTTCTTGAATTGGGTTTATACGAGTAATGGGTTGAACTCAGGTTAGATGTCCATGGATGGGTGAGTTGAAGCAAGAGAAGACTTTGGAGCCCTTATTATTATTGTTTTATTTATTTATTTATTAACGTATGACCCGTGTTAAGAAATTAAAAATATATTTTTTATTAAAATAAAAATATTTATTATTTTAAAATTATAAAAAATATTTTATACATATTTTTATAGTAATTTAAAGTATTTAATATAACAAATTTAATATTTTTAATGCGTTCTTAAACACATTAAAAAACTGTATTACTATAAAATATTTTATTAATTTAAGCTTTTTAGCATTGAGTTAAAGAACCCATAGTAAGTTATTTTTTAAAATTAAAATATTTATTATATTGAAATTATAAAAGTGGAATAAATATTTTTTTAATTAAAATTTTATTACTTTTAATGCCTGATCTTAGCCTTAAAGACTAATATTAACATTTTCTTATCATAAAACTAAGGAGAGTGGTACTCATGTTGGGTCTTTTTCTCTTCTATTCGAGAAACCCTTTATTTTCTCTTTCACCTAATCACTGCCTCACATTCATTCACCATCCTTTTACCATCACATTTCTCCATTGCAAGCAACCACACTAAGCATCCTCTCTGTAGTTGAATCCTTGTTGCTGAAGCATCACCACCCAACACCATAAATTGACTGTTGTCTTTGTTATAATTTCATCTTATTATTGTGCTCTATACTAATTTGAAAAAGGGAAAGAAAAAAGTCATTTATTTTTTTCTTTCTAATGACTCTATCAAAGTTCTTTTATTGGAAAAAAAATGTGATTTTGAGATTTTCTCTTAATTTTAACTTCATTGTGTTTGGAAGTTTTCAGAATTGCTAAATTCTCTTTAGATTTGAGCATCTTTTCTTGTTTTGTGTTGTTATGATATCATAATTTTCCATTCTTTCTTCTGTAAGTGTTATTATGCATTTCTAATCATTATCTTTGGAAAAAAAAATGTGGTTTCAAATTAACAAGTATTTTGTGTATTATTTGAATATGTTTAAGTAAATTTTAAAATTTAAATAAAAATAAAAATTATAAGATGAATATTTGATTAAATTCCACATCAGCATAAAAAAAATATATAAATATACGAGTACAATTGATAATGATGATTTAAATTATTATTAAAGCAGTATGTGTATAGTTGTATATGCATAAAAACGTTGTGTTATTAACCAAGTTAGGATTGGACATTGATATCTTACTTGAAATATAGGTATTGCAGAGTGAAGTCAAAGTATGTGTTGGTGTGAAGAAATAGGTGAACCCCTTAAATTATTTCTCAATCATTGATCCCCTGAAGAAACATGTACAGGGGTTCTCTTCAACTGTAAGTGAAGTCCAAATGTTACTTGGGAACACATACCTGCTTCCTCTGAATAGAAGGGAGAAGAAATTTGAAAAGTTTAATGCTCGAGATTTAACAATTAGAACCTAAGTTTTGATAGAAAAAAGAGCATTATGTTTTATACACTTCAGGGGATGGGAATAAATGGCATGATGAAGTGGCTTCAATTTAAATCATTTTTCCATTAGACCTTTTACTAGTCTTTATTCAAAATGAATAAGAATTATGTCATGATGGGATAAATTACTAGAGAAATCTTTATATAAAAAAATTAATATAAAAAATAATAAAACTTCTTTTGATAAATTTAAAACAATTTATGTTTCTCTACTTTTTGAGAAGTTCTAATGAGTTAACTCATTTAACTTTTTTAAAATTTGAAGAGATAAGTTGTTTAACTTATTAAAGAAGTTTCATTCATTTTTTATATTGATTTTTTTTTCTTTACAAGAATTTTTCTAAAAGTTTACCCAATTCAATCATATTCTTCTTAAATACTAAAACATAAGTGGATAACTATCCAAGCAAGGACTCAATGCCAAACAAATAACAACAAAGTTTTATCTCACCAAATAAGGTCAGTTATGTCGATCATATGATATCATTATGCTTGATCAAATCTAAGATATATTATTTACCATGAGACATTTTTTAATAATTTTTTTTCAAAATTCTTCTAGGTCTCCTTCTACTCTATTTTATTGAAGTCATGTCTTAGGCATTGCCAATTAAACCACTGAGGAAAAGAATGACACTTAACTATAAATTGCATTTGGATCCCTCCTACCATAAGCAGTTGTGGGAAAATGAGATTTTACATTCAAAATTTTAGGAGGGAAGGGGGGGGGGGGGGGTTCTTTTCTTACAATAGAAAATAGGCAAGCACAACAGCAAATCAATTTGGTCATGTGATCTGGCTGCTACAAACAGGGCCTCCCATTATATACTTGGCAAAATGAATCTGTCTTTCTAGACTGTACAAAACCAATGGCTTAGGCTTAGAGAAACTTCACAAATATTTTACCACATATGAACAACACTTAATCTATTGAGGAACCAGTTTCAGCAGTTTCATCCTCACTAATGCTATATGGCATCTCTGCAGTGTACCTACATTATCATACATGATGATGCCATTAGAAAGGAGTTCTATATCCAATAACAATTGGGATGTAAACTTTCTAAGGATAAATCAAAATAAGAACTGTAAAATCAACCTGTTAAGCCCATACACTATATATTTTGCTAAGTGAAGAGAAAAGGAATAGGGCTAATGAAATAATTATATCAATAAAGCTAACACATTTTGCTTAATTTTTACCATTAATAAACAAATTAAAATTTTAATAGTTCAGCAAAACCATTTATCTTCATTAATTTGTCAATTTTTTGGCAGATGTACAACAAATGAAGCCTTTTTACTTCGATAAGGAAAGCAATGCTCATCCAAAAACATTAAAATATAAATAGTGAATATAAATGCTACGGTTTTTTAACGTCCGTGCAAGGGCACACAATAAGAATTTGTATATAATAAGTCTTAACTAAAAATCACAAGATCTCACAAGATGGATACATTGATAACATTAAATGCTACAATTTTTCACAAAATCTTACTATTTATTAATTTCTTATTATGTGCCCTTAGGAACACGTCAGAAAAACTGTAAATGCTATTCAATAATCTACTTACAAAATTATCAGTCCAATTGGCACTACAGTAAACAAGAAACACTGACATAGACATTCTTCATGCACATAAGCTAACAAGATTTTGAGAGGGCCTGAGGACGCATGCAGTCATGATAAAAAAAATCAAATGTAAAAATGGTCACCTCTGACTTTTCCTTGGTTCCATCTCAGCAACGGGTGCTTCTTGAACATCATAATGTTGGAGTAGATCAACTTTAGCTCGCTTTGTAACACATGGAGTAAATGTAAAAGAAGGGTCCTACACACAGCAAAGCAAAACATGTCATATACAATCATGGATTGAGGAGAATGAGCTCAATAGGAAATCAAATTACCACATGCCACACATGCAAGCAAGTTTATGCATCTAAAACTCACCATCATTTCATTTGAAAGTGTCCTTACAGCATCTGAATCGTGATTTTGTTTTTTAACCTTTCTATCTCCTTTAAACTTCTCTTCCTGAAAAAATGTAACCAAATTGGCATTTTAAGTCTCTTCAAAGTAAAAGAAATTAGATGACTACATGCACAACACACAAATACGAAAGAAATATATTAGTGGACCTTTGTCATCCTTTTAGAAGGCTGTCTTTTTTCAATATTCATGAAAATTCGTGATTTATGCATCAAATTTGAAGGCTTGGCTTTTACATATTCACTCCTTTTCATGTTCTTTAGATTGCTGTTATCATAGCCATGCAGCAATGAGTCTCTCTGCTTAACTACAAGATTATTCTCTTCATATTGATCACTGGGGTTAGAAGCAGAATCAGATCTAATCCACTCAAGCCCATGCTTAGTACCCATTCTATGATTTTTAGAGCTATTAAAAGCACAAGCTTCCCCAGCAGAGTCTACATACAAATCCAAGGAAGAGTTCCTGCGAGGCAAATGATTGGTAAAACTGTGAAAAGTTGATCTTTGATTTATATGCTGGCAGGGTTTTTCATCCTGGAAATCAGAATCAAGCAAGGAGCCAAAGTCACCTCCTTCCACATGTGAATCTTGGGAACTTAATTTGGTAAAATATGAATCATATCGCTGCAAATACACAAGGAAAAAAAAGAGAGAGGTCAGCAATTAACAATTAAGCACTGATTATACATAAACCATTACTCATCTTAAGATTGAACATTTGTAACATTAAAATCAAGTAACTTTCCCAATTATGAAACGTGTGTCTTATAATGTAAACAGATCATGTTCTACTAGGATAATAATAATAATAATAAGAATAAAAAAGATAATGCATTAGAAAGTTAAGCTTACAGAGCTTAGATCAGATAGCCTTTTCAATGCCGAGATATCTGGAGAATTTGGATAAATAGGGTTTGCAACATTGTTTGGTTCTGCCATAGCATTCATCAGATCAGACCAGTAAGAATTTCAATCTATTCTTAAAAAGATTATTATATGAAATTAGAAATCAGATCCAGAGTTAGGTGAATCAACAGAATAAGGAAAATAAATTCTTACACCTAAACTAAGATGAAATCTTTCTAGTAAAACATCCAAATATCATTTTGCTTCTACAGAAAAATCTCAATGCATCAGCTACTAAAGTGGTTTGAGCTCAAAATTATGCTTACAATTTTGCAAAAGTAAAGATCTTTTTATTCCTTATCCTCCTTAGTAAATCTTTTGAAAATATGTAATTTTATAAACCATTTATACTTCAAATAAGTAGGTGCCAATGGGTTAAACCATCTAGTATATTCTTGGATTTCAAAATCTCATTAAAGAGTTTAGTGAGTCACTCTAGTTTTTGTTTTCACAAACTTTTATAGAGATATTATCAGGGCCAAGTGCTTTACCATTCTCCACCTTTTAAGAGTTTCTTTTACTTCTCTAACTTAAATCCTATAGTAATACGCCAAATTTAGATCATTTACTTGTACTTCTAATCCTGCTAAATTTCCACTCGCTCCTTGTTCCTCACTAAAAAGTTTATAGAAATATTTCTCCCATCGGTCTTTGATGTCTTGATATGAAGCCAAAATTTTTCTTTCTTCATTCTTAATACATCTAACTTGATCCCAATCTTTAGATTTTCTTTCTTTACTTTTGACAAGTTTATAAATCTTCCTTTTCGCATACTTTGTCCCAAGATCTTAATAGAACCCTTCAAAAGTCTTAGAACGTGCTCCACTTATTGCTTTTTTTGTCTCATTTCTTACCTTTCGATACATTGCTCAATTTTTCGCATTATTACATGTATGCAAAGTTTTAAAACACATCTTCTTCTCTCTAATCTTTTCTTGTACACTTTCATTTCACCACCATATTTTTTTTCTTTTGATCCAAAACCTCTAGATTTACCTAAATTTTTCTTAGCAACTTTTTTGACCTTCGTAGCCATATTGTGCCAAATAATGTTAGCACTACCTTATGTCGACCAACTAACCTCTTCTACTAATTGCCTCTCAAAATCTAATAGTTTCTCACAATTAAGTAGCTACCATTTAATTCTTGAAATACTATGTTACTCAATTCCTTGTTTACCAGTCTTAAAACAAACATTAAGGACTAAGATCCTATGTTGCGTAATAAGACTCTCTCCTGAAATCACTTTATAATCCTTGCAAATTCGTTTGTCTAGATTCTTCACCAGGAAAAAAATCAATTGGCAACCTTAAAACTCCACTCTTAAAAGTGATGAGATGTTCTACCCTCTTCTTAAATCAAGTGTTCATAATCTTAAAGTCGCAGGACATTGAGAAATCAAAGATAGATTGTCCTTCCTCATTTAACTCTCCAAAGTCAAAACCACAACAATTCCTTGCAAATTGTCTTGCTTCATAACCAACATGTCCATTACAGTCCTCACATGTAAAAATCTTTTCTAATTTGTGGGATGTCTTGGATCAACTTCTCTAAATCTTTCCAAAACTCTATTTTCAAATGGACTTTCGAGTCAACTTGTAGAGTATAAATACAACTTGTAGAGTATAAATACTGATGATATTAATAGTGTCTTGTGCAACCAATAACTTCAAGGACATCATCCTATCTCCAATTCTTTTGATTCTACTACGTTCTTTTTCCAAGTATTATCCAAAATCATGCCTACTCCATCCTTCCCTTGACTTTTCCTGTGTATCAAGGTTTGAAACCTGTAGTATCGAACTCCTTAACATTCTCTCCAACCAATTTTTGTTTCCTCAAAAGCATATAAGTTATAAATCATCCTAATTCATAGCAAATAACCATGGGCTAGTTGAAAACCATTGTATTTGCTATTCATCATACAAAAGTAATCAGATGTATCCTCAAGTCTATCACTGCCTAGAGACAAAAAAAATAACATTAGGTGAGCCAAATATCTTTGACGTGTCTAATGTGTTCAACAATATTCCTTTAACCCAAAAAAACAATTGCATTGTTTCTACAAAAAAAGAAACAAATTTAGTGTCCCAAAACTAATCGAATGCAATAGAAAAATGGGATAACTGAATGCATATAGTATTAATGTACAACGTACCGTTAGCTGGATCTGCAATATGACATTCAAATGCCCCAAGAGGAATTGTATCAAATTCAACAGTAAGTAGTGGACCATTTTCTCGATAATGCTTTCCTAACTGCTTCTTAACAGAAGTTATAGCAGCATGTTCCATCTCACCCTTTACTTTCAAATATCCTGATGGTTTATTTCCCATGTTCTTTGCAACCTTGGGATTTGGGGGTGGAAGAGGTCCACTAGGTATAGGAAATCTAGAAGGCCCCATATCATATGGATCCTGTTCTTGAGGAAACCATTCTTGCAGAGACAAGCTACTCTCAAATGACTTGTTATCCGTTGCACTATCATCTTCTGGATAATGGGTCCTTTGTCCATAGGTCATATCCACAGCTGAAAATTCAGTGTTATATATATCACGACTCTCAACCTCTTTGGGATCAAGAAACCTATAGTCACAATGTTTAGTGCTTCCACATGAATCTTGCCCGAGCCCACTGCCACGATCCTGAATGACACCACTTGAACGATCTTGTCGTCCATTAGCACCCACTTCATCATTCAACAATCTTTTATCTTTTAATCTTCGGTGACAAAACCATCCAGATACTTGCTTTTCTGTCAACTCTAACTCATCGGCAAGTGTTGATTTCATTTCCTCTGTGGGATATTTGTGATCTGAAACCAAGAAAGAGAAATGAAAAATAAATTCTTCAAGAATTAGAACCTAGCTAGCAGGATGCATTAACGCCCATAGGACAAAACATGTACACCTACCATTATAAAATTTTTCCAAGGCCATAACCTGGGCTGGTGTTTTGAGCCTTCTTTTCTTATTTTTCTCCATAGATAATTTGACTTCTTCTGATTGCAACTCAAGTAGTTCTGAACCCCAACAGAAAAGCAGAAGTAAAGTGCACGTGTTAGGATGGAAAAATAGCAAGAGTATGCAATAAAAAATAATTATTTTAATACCATACAGCCATTCCAATTGATCAAGGTAGTATGAAATCAGACATACAGTTACATGCTTAATACAATGACAATATGAAAAAAGATGAATGCATGGACAACTGAAATCATGTAAATTTTGGGAATTTTCGGCAATGCAAGAAAGCTGCTTCCTTCAAATCTTGAAGCAGAAAGACATTTGTTTTAATCAAATATTTATAAGAAATTGATATCTCAACAAATAGAAGTTCAAAAGAAGCCTGCATCAGTGGGGACCTACTTCAAGGATATCGATCCTCCACTAATAATTTAAATAGGATTAGAGGTTGTTACTTTAGAATTAGATCACTAGGAACATTTAGCTAATGAATTCCACTCTTAGCTGCCAATAGAAAAATTCATTTTTGGATATATAAAGTATTAACAGTTCAACACAATATCATAATCAGCCATTTCATTCCATACTCACAATTTAAGTTAACACAAACATTATAAAAATTAAGAAGGTATATCCTACATAACTTGATATACATGCTTACTATATCGCAAAAATTGAGACTCGAAGAAGGAAAAACTTTAAAGAATACAAAAGAGAAAGTTACAAAATTACAGGTATTTTGCAAAAGCAGATGGGATGCAATATAGAAAGTAGATCCAGGACAAGGCATCATTTTATTACATTGACAAAGCAAACATGAACCTTTCCAAATTAAAGTCTTTACAACAAATACAAGAGAGCTAAAATCTGAACACATCAAATACTAAATTTTAAATTATGACTGAAATCCAGCCAAATCCCAATATTCCTTCACTGTGACTAACTATCACAGAACCCAAAGAGCCCAAATTCAAGACCTTGCCAAAATGCAAAACCAAGATTCCAACCAAACCATCAATGTAAGAATTAGAAGCAACCATGAAAAAGAACAAAAAATAAGCATCATATGAAAGACCCAAATCTCTGATAACACAATACCTTCCATGATTGTGTTGAATTTTGGTGAATCTTCCTCCTCTTTGCTAGTTTTGGGGCTAAAGGTGCAATCTTTTTTCACTGGGTTCTCAGAAAAATGAGACCAATTTGACCCAAACCAAAAGAAAATAGATGATTAAGATGTGGGTCTTTTTGTTCATTCAATTTGACCTTAATTCAACTTGAAGAGATGAAAGAGAAAAAGTGGCTTCAGGTGAAAGCTGAAAGCCAATGGAGACAGAAGAACAATTTCTCTTTATCTGTTCATTTCATTTGATTATTTCTCCAATCAGCTTTTACAATTTGTTTTTTTCTCCTTTGATTGAAAAGGGATATCAAATTTTGGTGTTATATTTTTTTATTTAGTGAATTTAATTTACCTGTGTTTTATTTATTTTTCCAGATTGAATGAAGGTGGAAGAGAAGGGAAGAAAAATATGCAGTTTTGTTTAAAATAATAAATGAAGATAAATAGATGGACATATCTGGGAGTGACAATGCATTTTACATTATTTTTCATTTATTAAAACTTTTATTTCATTCACTTTTTTTTTTCTTTTCCGAGTCATTCTCGAATCTCAGTCCAAAAGTCAGTAGTTTTATTTGGTTTAATGTTGCAATTACTGCTCTTTTAAAGTATATTTTTAAAAAACTATTTTAATAGTGCTCTTTAAATGTTTTAAAAGTTTAATTTTCATTGAAACAACATGATCAGATGAAAATATAAAAGAAATTGAAAACTTTTCTTTCAGTGTAATTTACATATTTAAAAAAAAATCAAATATCATGTGATAACTTAAATTTTAATTATACTTTTGATTTTTATATTTCAATTTATGTGTGATTTAAATTTTAAAATTAATTTTTTCATTTAAAAATTTAATTTAATAATTAAAAAATAAAAGAAGTATAGCATATTATTAATTTGTATAAACTAATAAAAAATATAAAATATTTAAATGAAATATAATGAAAGTTTTTGTTTTATTTAATTATTTTTATTTTCTTTTTAAAAAATATAAAATTTATATATTAAATATTTATTATATTGGTGCAAATATAATTAATCTTATACAGTTTAATAAATTTTAATAAAATAATTTAATTATAAAAATAATTGTTAAGTTCAAAATTTTAATTATATGCATTATGTTTGCAAAGTTTTTAATTATTCAAAATTATTTACTATTTTATTTTAAATATCAAAATTAACGTATTACATAATTTAAAAAAATATAAAAATAATTATTATTTGATTGCACATATATTTAATTACATGAAATAAAAATGCAATTCAGGCAATAAATTTAAAATGATTTTTGACAATAACAAATATATTCATTAAAATCAAAATCCCAAACAAATTGGTTCTGAATGTAACAATAGTGGAAAAAAAATGAAATATGACTTCAGTTTTTAGATAAAAAATTTTACTTATAATGTAAGAATAGTTTTAAATATAACTAAAATTTATGTAAACTGATTTTATTTTTACTAAAAATGTCAAATGATATTTTAAGATTTTATTCTTGCATTTTTAAAATTTCTTACTATTGTTTTAATTAACATTTATATCATTTATATACTTTCTGATGTTTTATATTTCATTTTATTACATTTACTTTTAAAAACTTTTAAAATTTATAAAAATTATTTTTAATAAAGTAAGAAAATAATATTTTTTATATTAAATCAAAAGTAAAAAGTATAAATTGAAATAATCTATTCTTTTTTAACTCAAATACATATTTTTATAATTCTTTTAGGAAAAAATCAAAATAAAATGTATTTAAGTTATTTTTAACATTTTATTAATAAAATGACACAATTATATGATTCAGATAATTTTAAAGTTATGAATTGAAAAATGTATATAATTTAACTTTATATTTGATAAAAGTAATTAATAAATAAAATAAATTTATTATAAATAAATATTTTATTTAATTAAAATTTTGCATAAAAACCATTTATATTCAAACTCTTTAATTTTATTTCTATGAAACGAGAATTAAAAAAATAGATTTGATATTTTGAAATAAAGATAAATATGAACTTGGTTACATTCAAGCCCCTAGTGATCACACTTTATTCATCAAGACTAATAACTCTAATATTATTGTACTAATTGTTTATGTTGATGATATAATCCTTGCAGAAATCAAGACCCACCTTCACTCTTGCTTCAGAGTTAAAGACTTGGGCCAACTCTGGTTCTTTTGGGTCTTGAAGTTGCACATTCCCAAGATGGCATATCTCTATGTCAAAAACATTACTGCATGAAGCTTCTATCAGACATGGGTTATTTGAAGGGCTTACCTGCGAGCTTCAGTGGCTCACTTACTTGCTTCGTGACCTTAGAATCTCTGGTTCCAGACCACCGGTTTTGTACTGTGATTGCACTTCACATTGCTGCGAACCCAATTTCCACGAACACACTAAACATCTTAACATAGATTGTCATATAGTTGGTGAAAAATCCCATGAAGGTTTAAAGAAACTTTTGCCCATCTCTTCCTCAATGCAAGTCGTTGACATTTTTACCAAGCCACTCACCTTGCCCTTTCTACGACAGTTCTTCTCCAAGTTAGGGCTGCTTGGTCTCTACCAACCTCCAACTTGTGGGGGCTAAAAGAAGGTCATGAAGACATAGAGGATATATAGCAGGGCACATGTCTATGTACATACATAAGCTAAAGGTTCCAGAGTGAGCTCACTCTTTTTTGCCTTGTTAGTTTTTCGGATCTGGATTTCACGGATGATTAGATCATTTTTCGCACAACAGAAGTCCTTTCTGTTCCAGTGCTTCCTGCTTAGACTAGTGATGTCACATTTTCTTTCTTCCTTCCTTATAACATGTAACTAAATATACCACTTTACACTAAATAAAACTTAAGCGATTGATTCTAGCATTCTATCACATTATTTTTTAACTTTTCTTAGAGTAAGGTTAGTATGCCAAGAAATGTAAGCATCTACTGCTTAGTGCAGTTTCGATGCAAAGGAATTTGACCAAACTCAAATTGATAATTCTTTCGGAAACTTGTGAGCTATGTTGCATGGATACGGGTATGGTACCAGTACCAAGTACGGGTACGGGATACGACATTTTTTAAAAAACTAAGGTACGAGTACGTGGATTAAAAAAATATAAAAAATTATATATAAAATAAAAGCACACAAATTTTAACATATCATATATTATATAACATAAAAAAAGCATATATTTGTCCACAAAGATAATAAAAAATCTTACAATACAAATTACAATACTTAAATTGTTCAATATGACATGACAATACTAAAACATAATTAAGAAAATCAAACTTTAACAGTGTCAATCTCATTATTTCCTTCCCCATCATCAGTGAAAATAACTGCCTCTAGATCTAGTTCATCAAGAGAAAGACTAGCAACTTCAAGAATTCCAGCATCTTCAATTGAATCCCATTCATCTCCACCAATATCTCACATTCTAGATTCACCCTCAAAATAATTCTTACTTTTTCTTGAGAGCAGACGAAGATTTGTGTGTACAAATACTAAATCTTCAGCTCTTTTAGGATTAAGCCTATTTCTTTTCAAAGAGTGGATAAAGGAATATGTGCTCCAATTTCTTTCACAACAAGAAGAAGAGCATGGTTGTGAAAGAAGCTTCAAGGCTATGGACTGAAGTTTAGGAATTGCAGCTCCATACATAACCCACCATTCTTTTGGTTTTAAGTTCCACCTATCTTGCAAAGAATCAAATTGGCCAAGCTCTTCAGAAGAACTTGAGAATTTAACAAACTCAGTAATTGCCTCTAACCTTTCCTTCGAATCTGGAAAGTAACTTCTTAGGCACTTATTTCTCCCTATGCAAACCTCATTATCCTTATGTGGTGGAAGTCGATTTGGAGCTTCCTGAAGCCATTGTCTACAATAATACTTATTATGCAAATTATAAAGTATATAAATAAGTCAATTGGAACTTGAAAGAAAAATTAAATAAAATAAAAGGACTAAATTAATTAAATTTTACCGAGGATTGAATGAATGAGCCAAACAATGAAGAGGTGTGTAGCTTTTAGTCCATATATCAATTAAGATGTTATAAACCACATCATAAAAGGATGAATGTTGATTCAACTCCTTACTCTCTTGTTGATATATTGCTATCTTCACTTGCTCAATCATAGAATCCCATTTCTCATAAACTAAGTGAAGACTTGGCTTATCGGTATCACAACAACGAAGCATATCATAAATGGACTTTGTAAAACTTAGAACATAATCAACTTTATCTTATTAACTATCATTTAAAATTGTTTCTTTCACAACTGCAGCCTTCTCAACATCATCCTCCTTATAGTGAGACCATTTTTCACTAATAACCATAGATTGGAGACCATGCTTAATAGTTGTCAATCTTTTGAACATAATAATGGTTGAGGCAAATCTAGTCTCAGCAATTGCAAGTAGCTTCAAATGCACAAATGCATTAAACATGGCTAGTCTCATAGAATGATTCATTATAAAATTTCTAATAAAATAAGCATAATCAGCAAGATTACAAATCCAACTACACTCACCATAAACAACCTCATTAGTTGGTGTATTTTTTGGTGCACAAATGTTTTTGAGGGCAAGATTTAAAGTGTGTACAACACATGGTGTCCAAAAAATATGAGGATGGATAGATTCAACAATTAATCCAGCTGCCTTGCAAACAAGAGCATTATCAGTAATGACTTGAACAACATTTTGTGGTCCAACCTCATCAATTGTAGACAAAATTAAATTAACAATGTAATGCTTGTCCTTATATTCACCAGAACCATCAATAGCTTTCAAGAACATAGGTCCCGAGTCTGAAGCTGCCATAAAGTTGATCAATGGCCTTCTTTGTGCATCAGTCCAACCATCAGTTACTATACTTATACCCTTTTCTGGCCAAGTATCTTTTATAGGTTGAAGTAACCTTAAAATGTGAGCCTTTTCTCTTTGCAACATACTAGTCCTTATAGCATTATAAGAAGGAGGAAGAAATCCCGAAATAGAAGTGTTTGCAGCATATGTGAATGCACTAATAAAATAAGGATTTCTTGCAATATTGAATGGTAAACCTGCAGAATAAAACATTCTGGCTATTTCACATGATAAATGGTCTCTTGCCTTATTATTAAATGTCCTTCCTAATGGACTTTCAATTCCTTTTCTTCTCTTGCTCCCATCAGCTATAGGGGGGTTTGAACTTGTAGTTTCAATAGGCAAAGGAACTTCCACAAACTTTGATTTTTTACTAGCCTCTCTTTCAAGTTGTTTTATCTCTTGTAAATATTCATATGTGACAAATAAACAAGTAGCTATCCCATGTCCCCTTTCTTTTAAATGAGATTTCACTCTAAA